GCTTTTATCTCTTCTTAAGTTTATTAACTTTTACTAATTTTTATTTCTATTTTGTATTTTGAAATAATTTCAAATGTTGAGAAAAATTGCCATAATAGTACAAAGAATTCCCATATGCCCTTCAGAGTTCCCAAATGTTAACATTTTGCCCAATTTTCACAATCACTTCCTCTCTCCCCCCCCGTATGTTTATGTACATATTATTATGTATACATGTAATATGTATGTACAGGTATTACATGTACATAATATGTATTATTGGGCCTGTGTATATTGGTTTTTCTGAACCATTTGGTAGTAAAGTTGCAGATATGATGTTTCTGTTTCTAATCACTTCCTTGTGCATTTCCTAAGACCATGAACATTATCTTATACAACCAAACTATAGTTATCAAAATCAGGAAATTTAATGTTAATACAATACTATTATCTAATCCACAGATCATATTCACATTTCACCAGATGTCCCAATAATGTTCTTTCTGGGCAAATTTGTTTTTCCCTTCCCAGGATCTAATCCAGAATCACGTGCTGCATTCAGTGGTCAGATCTCTTCTGTCTCCTTTAATCTGTGACAGTTCCCCAGCTCTCCTTTGTCTTTCAGGACCCTGACATTTTTGAAACTTCCAGGCCAGTTGTTTAGTTTCCTCACAGGTTTAAAAATACCCCCCGGAAGATTTTACCTCTCACATTGTTTCCAAACTCTCTTCTCCAGACTTAGGGGAGGGACTCTTTGCAGAGCCTTGTAAAACCTTAAATAAACTACACGAACAAATTCCACTTTGACCACTATCTTGTTAAAATTCCTTAAAAAAGTTAACTCATTGGACCCAAAGTACCTTAACGAAAGCTAGGCTGTACTTCTCCTGGTATTCGCTGTTCCTCAAAGGGTTTTATGTGCTGTTTAATGATTTTTCACAAATAGTTTTTCTTGCCCTTAAAGTCAGATTAATTGAATTTTAATTCAGCAGGATCACTCTCTAAAAAAAGAAACACTGGCTGTGCAGGTTGAGTTAGGGCCGCTAACTAAACCTAACGAAGGCCTTTTCAAGCAGAGTGGGATTCTGAGGGATGAAAAATCCAGCCATACAGCACCGTAAACTTATCTCTATTTTGGATGATAATGAAAAAAGCCCCTTTTCCTTCTCCACAAAGGAGAACCTGGATTGCCTAATAAAGGAAACCTACCACCTGAGCTTTCTCTGGCATGAGCTACTCACCCTCTCAAACTTGATCTTCTCCCTTTGATTTTGTGGACCTAAGAACACTTCCCTGTGGCCCACATCACCCCACTATTAGCTCCATTTTCTTCCATTTGTTCCTGATCCTTCAGAACTTCACTCTCATTTTTATTAAAAAACCCACAATTTTTGTAGTTATTGAAAATTTTCTGAAACAGCTAAGTCTGGTTAAAATTTCCCAAATCGAGGGCCGGCCCGTGGCTCACTCGGTAGAGTGCGGTGCTGATAACACCAAGGCCCCGGGTTCGGATCGCACATAGGGATGGCCGGTTCGCTCACTGGGTGAGCGTGGTGCTGACAACACCAAGTCAAGGGTTAAGATCCCCTTACCGGTCATCTTTTAGAAAAAAAAAAAAAAATTTCCCAAATCGAGGGCCGGCCCGTGGCTCACTCGGTAGAGTGCGGTGCTCATAACACCAAGGCCCCGGGTTCGGATCGCACATAGGGATGGCCGGTTCGCTCACTGGGTGAGCGTGGTGCTGACAACACCAAGTCAAGGGTTAAGATCCCCTTACCGGTCATCTTTTAAAAAAAAAAAAAAAAAATTTCCCAAATCAAAAGAAAAGTTTAGGCCTTCTCTTTTGAATCCTGGCCTCAATCTCACCATCCTCAGCTCTCTTTCTGCTGGCTCAGGTTTCCAGCCCTGAATCTTTTCCTTCTATGAATTTTACTGAATGAATAGCTGAATGAAGGGCCAAGGCTTGTCATTTCCTCCCACAATCCTGCTCTCTATTTTCATGATTGCCATAGCCTGGATTTTCGTAAAAAAAAATAGACACAACAACCCATTCTCAGAGTTCTATAGAACATTAGACTTGAAGTAGAAGGGGCAGTTATATTTGTTTTTCTTGTTTGCAGCTGGCCAGTACAGGGATCCAAATCCTCGACCTTGGTGTTACAGGGCCATGCTCTAACCAAATGAGCTAACCGGCCAGCCCAGTTATTATGAAAATACTGGGCTAGACAACAGCTGCTCCCCTTCTGTGGCCTATGCGGGGCTAACAGGGGAAATGAGGAGTTGCTTATGACTTCAGATTCCTTATCCATGAAGCCACTGATAGGGTTTGTAGGGTTTTTTATACTGTTCTTATGAAAAGCCAGAAAGGAAGAAACAGCCTCTCTTTTTCCCTGGAAGAGAAGACCTGGAAATGTCAGGAGATCCAAGGAAGGGGCGGGGTAGGAAAGGCCCCTTCTCACCTGCTCCTTACACCTTGTAGCAGCTGCCATCTCTGGTGGATTGGATTTTCACAGGCAGAAATTGAAAACTCAGCCTGGCTGTTTAGCTCAGTTGGTTAGACTGCAGCCTTGTAACATCGAGGTCAAGGGGTTAGTTCCCTGTACCATCCAGCTGCCGGGGGGGAAAAAAAAAAAAGAAAAGAAAAGAAATAAAAAACTCAGGGAACCACACCTACAACACTAGATGTCATTTACTGTGCAACCTTTGCTAAGGAAGCTCTCCTCTTTACCACTGCCCTGAAGCGTGACCATCACCCTTATTTTATAGATGTGGAAGCTGAGGTTCAGAGAGGCCAAGCAACCTATATATGGTCACACAGCCAGGGAGAGGCAGAGTGGCAGAGCTGGGATTTGAATCTGTGATGTCTAACTCCAATGCCCTTGACTTTTCCATGAACCTATCCTGCTTCACCTCCAAGACGAGAGGAGAGAGCTGGATTTAGTATCTCTACATGGCATCGATAGTAGTTTCTGTATTTATTTATCTAACTTTCACTGATCTAGGTGCCAGACACTGTTCTTAGATCTTTACAGGTACAAGTATAACATCATTTAAGCTTCATAACAGGCCTACAAGGCATATGTTTTTATCGTCCCATTTTCCAAGTGAGGAAACTGTAGCACGGAGAGGTGAAGTAATTTGCCCTAGGTCACACAGGAAGTAGTGGAGCTGGAAATTGGACCCAGGCAATTTGGTTCCAGAGTCTATGTGTTTTCCACTTTCCCTGAATCCCTATCTAGAGGGAGAGAGGATATACAAGTGGATGCATCACAAAGTAGAACGAAAGCAAAGTGGGGGGAAAAGAAAGCAAAGTAAAAACCCCAAATCCGTGGAAAGGAAACCCATCTTTTGCCCAATTTGCATGATGAGAGCCTGCGTTGGGAATTATGTCCAGGCGGTATCATCACCGAGTCTGTTGCCAGCCCCACCCATCCATGGGAACCCTTTCCCAGGGAAACAATAGGAATCTTGTCCGAGCAGGCTCATTGGCTCCTCCACTTAGTGTGGCGATGTGACTCACAGGCCTGAGGACCTGAAGGAGGCTTCTTTCTTTATAACCCCTTCTGCCCATGAGCCTCTCCAGCCCTGTCATAAAGCCTGTATTAGTCTGTTTCTATTTCTTATAACAAAATACTTGAAACTGGGTGATTTATAAGAAAATGGAATTTATGGGGCCGAGCCTTTGGCGCACTCGGGAGAGCGCGGCACTCGGAGCGCAGCAGCGCTCCCCCCCCCCCCCCG